ACCGTTCCGCCCGGGGACCTCAGCCTGAGAAGGCCGAGGCCCTGCCAGCTCCCGCAGCCATAACTTCAGTTGAGTCGCTTCTTCCGGGGATCCTGAGCTGGGCAAAAGTTGAGGAGTCAGGAAGGCTCAGAGGAGGGATCGTGGGCTTCGGAGTTCCCAGGCTGCTGGCGTGGGGCACCAACACCTTATATGGAGGGGTTTCTGCTGCCAGAGCAGGCAAGGCCCTCCCCTCCCTGGTTTCTCACTTGCGCCTTCTGGGTGTCCTCACGCAACTACACCAGCCACTGGTTTCCGCACTTTCCAGAGGGCCTGTGGCAACTACGAAGCCGAACACTGTCAACCCATCCACCCAGCATCCCCGCAGCATGCACAGAAAGGTTCACCCAGCATGGTGTGCAATAGGAACCTAAGCTCCTATCTCAGCCTATTTATGGACTGATGCACGCTGTGCAAAATGCCGTGGCAGCAGGAAGAGGGCTGCACATAGGCATGGGCGTTCTGGAAATTGAGACATCTAGAGGAGAAAGCATGTGACATCACCGTGATGGCAATGCCACCGCCACCCCCTTGCCTAATCAAACGGTCCTCTGCGCCGGACAGGTGGCCATCTGGGAGCATTAGCCAGGGAGTCACCCATTGTGTCTTGCCATCTCGCCCACAGAGGGGGCTCCACACCTTGTCATACTCATTTGACAAACTGCCCAGAACTGCTGGTGCCAGCCCCCACGGGTCATCTTACAGTCAACTCCAGACTCCACAATGTGAGTCTAATATATGTTCCAAGTATCAAATAGGATGAGCACCAAGGCATAAAGCTTAGAAATAGCAAGACTGCTTTTCAAATGCACATGCACACTTGTTTTCCAAAGGAATTAGATTTATTCTGCATGAAAACGGAAAGTCAAGTGTTCACTCCCCAAGCTGAAAGCTGAGGAGGTGGCACTGTACTGAGACCCCAGCCAGGGCTTGTGTCCTGCCCCAGTCTGACAGGCCTACTGAGCCTGGGAGGGGCCCAAGAGAAAGTCCCTGCAGAGCCCCAAAACCTACATGCTAGGAAACCTGTGCTGGAGTCACTCAAAGGGGCCTGTAGCTGTCAATCATCCTGGCTTCCGCTGGGCGGCGGCGGCAGCAAGTTCTCCCTCTCCGATGACGATGACGATGATGGTGAAGTCTCTGCTGGCAAGCCCCTTGTATCTATCCGGCAGAACACGCATTGGGTGAACACTTCAGAAGAGGTGTCACTCTTGAAGATGGAGAAAGGCCTGTCACATCTTTCGCACTGACATGGGATATTTTAAAAGAGCAGAAAGAAGGTGCTGGTCAGAGGGGATCCAGGCATGCCATTAGAATTCTCCCGCCTGATCCAGCTACTTTGAGCTGGGGCAAGGGAAGGGTTCCCCTCTCTGGAATCTCTTTTTTGTTTGTGTTTTTTTGGTTTTGGTTTTTTGGGGTTTTTTTTTTGAGACAGAGTCTCACTCTGTTGCCCAGGCTGGAGTGCAGTGGTGCCATCTTGGCTCACTGCAACCTCCGCCTCCCAGGTTCAAGCGCTTTTCCTGCCTCAGCTAACCCGAGTAGCTGGGATTACAGTCATGCACCACCACATCCAGCTAATTTTTGTATTTTTAGTAGAGATGGGGTTTCTGCATGTTGGCCAGGCTGGTCTCGAACTCCTGGCCTCAAGTGATCCACCCACCTCGGCTGCCCAAAGTGCTGGGATTACAGGCGTGAGCCACCGGGCGCAGCGCCTCTCTGGAATCTCTAACACCACAAAGGCAGAAATTGCAGAGAGAGAATGAGCACAGGCTTCTTCCCCACCAATGGCTAAGCAGGTCCTGCCAGCTCATGTCTCCTGCCATGGGGGCCCTGAGGACATGCGTGGCAAGCCTCTTGACAGTCGGGAGGATGGGGGTGAACCAGCCCCATCCATGGTTCTGTGCAGAGTAAAATTGTGGGACTGAGAGGATTACTCCCTGACATCCTGAGAACACCCAACTTTTACAGAACCATGAGACTAAAGTAGGCAAGATTTCTGAACAAAGCAGGGGTGTGAAGTAGATTGACGCAGGTGCTAGGCGCCCTCCTGCGTCCATGAGCCTGTTTCTGGCCAAAGCTCACAGAGAACACTGGAAACAAATGGCACAACTCACCCACCACGTCTGCTTCCCACTAACAAGCAAGAATCCCATGGGATGGGGTCTCCCAGGCTATGGGCAGAGGCCCCTGAGGGGTTCCCGCCATGCATGGTCCCCTGGAGAAGAGCCTGCAAGGTAGCACGCCCCTGCTCTGGCTTTCCCAGCCCCTAGGCTTTGCTGTCTTGCCCGCTCCAGGACACTGAGGCCTGCTGGAGAGAGGGGTAAACCCCACCTGGGGCAGGCCTCGGGGCAGCCTGGCCTCTGAGGCTTCTCATGTTAATTGATTCAGAGCCAGTCAAATGCAGCAGGTTCATCCTTGCTTCAGCTTCAGGTAGGCCTCTTTCTTTTCCTTTTTTTGCAAGAAATAAATTAGATCCCAGTTCGGGTGCGGATAGCTCACGCCTGTAGTCCCAGCACTTTGGGAGGCTGAGGTGGGTGGATCACTTGAGCTCAGGAGTTCGAGACCAGCCTGGCCAACATGGTGAAACCCCGTCTCCAATAAAAACACAAAACAATTAGCCGGGCGTAGTGGCGGGCACCTGTAGTCCCAGCTACTCAGGAGGCTGAGTCAGGAGAATCGCTTGAACCTGGAAGGCGGAGGTTGCAGTGAGACGAGATCGCGCGACTGCACTCCGGCCTGGGTGACAGAGCTAGACTCCCTCTCGAAAAAGAAATAGAGAAAAAGAAAAAAGAAATGTGATCTTTACCTACCTTATCCTACATTCCTACATCTCACGGTCCAACCCCAGAACAGCAGGGCTGACAGAGGAGGTGGCTCCCAGGCCCTGCCCTAGGTGGCCGGTGAAAGACAAGGGCCATCACTGCTCTGTAGCGAGTCAGCTTTCGGGGTTTAATGGCCAACACGGCCACAGGGACAAGGTCGTTTGAGTCCGACCCCCATACTCCTGCCTTGCTGTGCGGCTCCCAAATTAGCCATTCCCAGAAGCCGTGGCTCCCAGCCAAACCTGAAAGGAGGTCAAGTCTAGGTGGCTCCAGGATTCCCAGGGAAGGACTCAAGCGGGCCCAGCCCACACTCCAAGGCAGCAGCCAGGTGTGTGCACAGAGAGGCTCCAGCCGGGAGTTGCCTCCACTGCCCAGGGACAGCCTCTGTGGCCAGCCCGGGCTGGGCCTGGTGAAGCAGAAAATATGCTGGCCTGACCACCAAGCTCTTGCACTAGAGAAGCGCGGGCACCTGAGCCTCTTGCACGGGAAGTGGGGCACTGGGGACCTACCCAGGGTAGGAGGGTCACGCAGTGCCCAGCTGTGTACCTGGCCATTCTTCCACTGACCAGTGCTCCTGCGGGCTTCATCCCCTCCACGCCCCCTCACTCCATCCCTCCAACACACCAGGCTGGCTCCCGCCTCTCAGGCTCTGCATTGGCTGTTCTCTTGGCTGGAAAGTTCTTTCCTTTTTTTTTTTTTTTTTTTTTTTTTTTTTTTTTTTG